CCCCTCCCTTGTGGTTGTAAGCCGCCCTGAGTCCCCTCAGGGAAAAGGGCGGCATATAAATCCCAATATAAAAAATAAATAAATAAAAAATAAAAAATAAGCTTTCGTCTTTGCTCCAGGAGGACCCGGAGGCGTGATCTCCCGCAAGGCTGTTATCCAGGGCGGGATCCTGCGCTTTCCTGCGGTTGAGCCCACCGACGAGTCCCAGTACCTGTGCCGAGTGCGAAACAGCGTTGGGCAGCACATGGCGCGAGCTTTCCTGCAAGTGCAAAGTAAGTTGAGGTGGCATCGCTCCAGCCACAAGGACAAACCATGCCACAAGGTGGATGCCCAATACCCACGTCCCATTGGTGGGATTCAAATTTTTTTTACTGCCGGTTCTGTGGCTGTGGCCTGGTGGTCATGAGGCTGGGTGGGCGTGGCTTGGTTGTCACATGACTGAGTGGCACAGCTTGGTGGTCATGTGACGGTGGGCATTGCTTGGTCATGTGACTGGGTGGGCATGGCTTGGTGGTCATGTGACTGGGTGGTGCAGCTCAGTAGTCCTGTGGCTGTATAGGCATAGCTTAGTGGTCATGTGACTGGGCAGGTGTGGCTTGCTGGTCACGTGACTGGGTGGGTGTGGCCGAGTCAATATCACTTCTTTGCCCTAATGACCTACAAAAAGAAGATATACAAACAGGTAGTTTATTATTTTGTGCATTTAGTAGTTAAATAAGAATAAAAGGGATGCACAAATACTTACATAAGATGGCCCCCAACAACCCTTCTGATCCCCCTTCCTCAGCGTGAAATTGAGGATGATGGGGCTCTTCCAAGGACCTCCCCAGACCTCAGAGTCCATCTTCCCAGGATGCATCCATCAGTATTTATTCTTCTTCAGGGAGAAAGAGCAGAAACTTAGATTTTATCATCTTTTAATGGCCCCATAATCCTTTGCGGGGTGGAATCTGGGCAACTGAATAGAGCTAGCAGAGTGTTTACTGGCCGGATGACCTTCCCGTTGCCAGTGCGGATTTTTGTTCGGGAGATACATTCTCATTGCTCCCAGAGCGAGAAATATCTGCCTCTACCTAGGATCGAACTCACAGTCTCCTGATTTTAAGACGAGAGCTCCACCTCTAGGCCACCGGACCACTTGGAGAGTT